TGCCCGGTAAACCGTAGGCAGAGAGGGAGAAGAGGACAACAAACGAGGGGCTGTGACAAACTGTTTCGTCGGAGTTTCACCGACTCATATATGTATATATATACGATATATATATATATCTATTTGACGATATATATATATATATATACGATATATATATGTATATATATGCAACGTACATGATTGACTAGCCTTTTTTCTTTTTGTGTGTGGGCATTGCCCGCACCGCGGGCGCTAAGGTAGTCATTTTAATACCTGGTAGCAGCTGTATTTCATGAATTGTTTTTTGTTGGAATTGCGCTGATTTTTATGGAAATATGTAAAAGGTCGGGGGGCTGATTGCTGAATCGGATTGAACAATTTGAATTGATGATGTCAAGGTCGTGAGGCATCAGACACGGAGCATATTCTGGATTCGCTGTCCGGTCTGGAGCAGTAAGTTCAGTCTCTTGCCTCCCTCTCTTTCTCTGGACTGGCAGTGGATCATTTCAATTTTCAAGTATAATGTTATAATGCTGCTCTCCAGTGCGCTTACTGTTCATGTTTGTCGAACTGTGTGTGTGCCCGTGTTGTTGAAAGGAAGTAGGAATGGTGGTATGGTGGTTGAGGGACGAGGAGGGGGAGGTGGGAGGCGAGGGTGAACGAGTGATTGATGAGCGTGTTCGTTCTTCCGCTAACCTGTATGCCCATGTGAGGCTGCAGGTCTTGATTAGGACAGATGTGCCACTACAGGGTCTCCAGAGGGACAAGACTGAAACTTAGGTAGTGGAGGGATGTGTGGGTGAAGTTTGAAGGAAACAAGATATTGTGTTTCTTCTTGCCCGTGATAAGTAACCGGACTGGCGTCCCGCAGAATAGAAGGGGCTGTGTGTGTGTGTGTGTGTGTGTGTGTGTGTGTGTGTGKGTGTGTGTGTGTGTGTGTGTGTAAGGATTTAAAAAAAAAAAAAAAACCTCTTGTAAGCCAGGAGGATTTTCAGGTAGTCTGGTAGGCCCCGATACCTGGTGGGCTTAGGGCTAGGCCATGATGATGGTAGCGGACCTACCAGGCCAAGATCAGTACGTCATGGGGTATGTAAGCAGGCTGCAAGTACATTGTTGGTGGTGGCGGGAGATTGCTTTCATCGAGAATTGAGTTCACTGCTTTGCTTCTCCTTCAGTGGAATAGCTTCGAGTACATTGTTGGTGGTGGCGGGAGATTGCTTTCATTGAAAATTGAGGTAGCTGCTTTGGTTCTCCTTCGGTATGACATCAGTGCATTTCTGCTTCCTGGACAGCTTTCGACTATCTGGCATTCAATGTGATTTTTGCAATCTGGAATTCTGTAATTTCGCTATTGCTCATTTAAATCATTTTCCTTGCATGAGTAGACCACTGACCTATTTCGCCACCTACTCATCAACCCACCTCAGAAGAGAGGGTACTGAAAAGAACCACAAGTCTTATGAGTAACTAGACTGAGAAGAACTACTGAACGAAGTTCGACAAACGTCAGCAAAAACTGAGTCTTTTGCAAACCCGAGTTTTCCGGGGTTTTCTGAGGTGCAGATACGCCGGATAGTTAGTAAATAATGCAGAAAAAGGTTGGCAGAAAAAAAAACGCGGACTCTTGAGAATCTGAGTTCTCTACAGACTCGGGACACAGCCCTAAACAAACCTTGAGAAAACTGCAGCAACAACACAGTCAAAATCAGACTTGAAAAGTCCGAGTTTTTTTGTGCAGGTTTCGGTGCTCAGATCAACCCAGAATCTGAGTAGTGTTTGCAGCAAACATGGCAAAACTCAGACTTCGAAAAGTCTGAGTTTTCGGGGTCTCTACAGTAGGTACCTTCACGCCACTCGTACATACCGAACCACTGATCTACCTGCCAATTATCTGGCAACCTACCTACCTAGCTAGTAGCTACCCACCAACCTTTCTTCCCACATACGCACCCAAGATACCTGTCCACCTACCTAGCTAGTAGCTACCCACCCACCCACCTATCTACCTACCTTCCAAGTTCCTACCTACATTCCTACTTAGTACCTACCCACATGTCTACCTACCTGTTTGTGACCGTATGTGTCTATCCACCTACGCACTTATCTACCTGCCGATGGACCTAAATACTTACCTATGTCGCTACCTACATAAGTGCCTACCTACCTATCTCCCTCATTCCCCTATGTACAGACCTTACCTAACTCATGATCTTGTCACATACAGCTAACCTGTGTGTACCATTCAGGCACTTGGGCTGGGTGGCCTCTTATTTTCAGTGAAAACTTATAACGGCGAAGAGAAGGTCCTGTTAAAAAAAAAAAAAAACGGTGAAGGGAAAAGAACTGACTCTCAATTTTTTCTTGCTTCTTGGCGGGGTGGTTCCTCAAGGGATATTAGCTGAGCTTTCATTTTTGGCTTGGCCTTTTTCAGGTACATCTTCTGCTCCTCGGCGGGGGTCTATATGAAGTCAGACTTGCTGCCACATAGAGAGGTATGCATGACCTTAAATGTTTTTTTTAACTCACGTTGCCTGTCTCGTTGATCTTCTGCTTGGCCTCTTTCTTGGCGTTCTCCCACTGGTCGATTGCCCTCCACAAGGAGGCCGTGAATAAGAAATTTAAGTAAAAAGCAGTTGAGGTCTCCCGTCGGCTAGCTCAGTAGGTTTCATGCCTGAGCTGCACCGCATAGGTGCTGCGTTCTATTCCCGTTGCTGTCACTTTCAGTGGCCTGAGGAGGACTGGTGGGCACGACCAGTCAACACTGGTAAGCTGGGGCGAGTTGTGCCACCCTCAGCCCTGTAACCCATAGCGATGTGGGAGCATCGGGCCAAGTGGAAGTCGCTGCTCAGGTCCTGCTGCGGCCGGTCGGGAGACACCCAATGCACATCCAACAAAAATAGCTTTTAGGTTGAGCTATCAGTCAGTATCATCATGGCTGCTGACATTCATGGCTCGATTGCGATGCCTATCTATCAGGGTTTAGACCCCTCAATTTCACGACACTTCCAGAGGCTTGAAAACTCTCAACATACCTGTCCCGACATGACCCGCCAAAACACAGACTGAGAACACTGCTGATTTCTGAGTTTTGCCGCTGGAATGAATGCCCCCTTGCTGAGATTCCCGCGTTCTGCTGAGGTTTCTAAGTCTGAGTGTGTGTGGGTGTGGGTGTGGGTGTGGGTGTGGGTGTGTGCTTGCTGGTCCGTGTGCCTGTCTGAGTGCACGTCTGCCTGGGTGTGTGTGTGTGAGGCCCGCAGGGCCGGTACTTACCTGTGGCCATGACTTTGAGGGTTGCAGTCTGAAAAACACTCAAGTGGCGGGGAGTAGGCCCGTGACACTTAGGGCAGCGGGGAAAAACACTCAAGTAGCTATGTAGGCCGGTACCACTGAAGTAGCTAACCACCAACCCATTGTCTTCCCCTAGTTGACCTTCATTTCTGATGCCAATCATGGCAATTTTGAATTTTCTCATCTTCCTTCGTCCTTTTTTCGCTTTTTTTGAAATTTATGAAGCTATGAGTTGAGTCCCAAGCAAAAGTGTGAAGAAAAAGTATTGACCAGGATCATTCAATACAACTGTATGTACACGATACCAAGGTAGACCCATGAAAGGACACCTTTTGGCATAGACAAGTTGATATATTTATTGACTTTCTTGCTTTTTTTTTTACTAATTCATTAATATAATCAATGAATTAGTAATTTAGTATGTCTTCTTTTTTATTCACTAAATTTAATCTAAAATATTGTGTTGAAACTTGAAAGTTGAAACCTTGAATAGAATCTTCTATATTCCGAATTAAATCGATGTTTTAACTTGTTTGTATATTAATTATAATAATGTTATACAATTTTATTACTTGACCGTTCAAGAATAAGATTGGTTCCACTTTTTTATTACTATTTTTTACTATATTAGAACATTCTTAGTCTATATATCTATTATATCATCTTTAAGACTTTAAGTGCTGTTGCTTCAAAGCGTTATAAAACACTAGGAGCAAAAATGCCAATCGTTGCAAGTCCAATCTGTTTTGCATCGCTATGTCCCTGATGTAACAGCTGGCAGGTCTTTTTAGGACAAAACAGTCTGCCATTGTCTCTCTGAACGACCGCCAGCCTTCAACTTCCACGCACTCCCCTAAAGGCCCTCAAGTTCTTAAGTTGAGCACATCCTTCTAGACACGTGCCGAGATCTCGAATTGGGTTCTCCCTTCCCTGATGTCTCAGCTGGTGTGCATCCTTAATGTTGAAGTACAGGGACTTTCAACTGAATGGGCAGATGTTTAGCCAATGACATTGATTTCGGTGTACAGATTGATGCAGGAGATCCCAAGAGCAGGCACAAGGGAAAACTTGACACCGAAACGCTCCTGCAATCAAGGGGAGTAAACTGGACAAGCATTCGTCCAGTGTACATCTACGGCCCGCTGAACTACAACCCAGTGGAAGAATGGTTCTTTCATCGGCTCAAAGCTGGACGTCCAATTCCCATCCCCAGTTCTGGACTGCAGATTACACAGCTTGGACATGTTAAGGTGAAACTCCTCTCAAGGCACTGCGCCACTTTCCTTTGTCAGTTCTAAATAAAACTATGTTCATAACTTCGTATTCCTTTTTTTTTTGGTGCATTGTCTCCATCTTCTTTCAAAAGAATAGCAAGGCACTGCGCCGCTTTCCTTTGTTAGTTCTGAAACTTTTGCGAGGATAGGGGTCCTCGGTAGGTCTTTGGGGCCCTGTCTGCAACCTTACCCGCCCTAAGTGAAGGCGGAGGTGCCCGCCCTAAGTGAAGGCGGGCCTGGCTTTTTGCAAAAGGCCTTCGACTGTCAATTTCATATTTGGGGTTCAGGCAGTTGCGACGCGCCAGTTGGTTGAAAGAAACACAGGCCGAGCAACAAGGACATTTCCACGGCCTACGGGGCCTTTCCAAAGAATGCAGGCCCTGGCCGTGATTCGCAGCCTCATACAGAGACAGTTGGGCGCCCAACCGAACGAGGCCCA